TATGGGGAGGAAGTGGAAGGGGAGCCGTTGCATTGTAAACTGTGGTCAATGACATGAGACAAAGTATATGTGAACTGCTGTATGGAAAGTGAATTCACTCTGTAAATCTTCAATGAAATCACAATAAATAAAATAAAATTAAAAAAAGAAAGAAAGAAAGTCTGTTTTGAAAAAAAAGACCACTCTAAATTAACTTCGGACTCCTGACATGAGATGGGAGGCTATGCTAACATCTGAGGCTAAAACTCCATTTTGAATCAAAAGTAACCTCTACATGAGGAATGTAGTCTGTCATTCCTGCAGCTCTCCATTGTACCGAGGTCAGACCTGACTCATAGCGACCCCTCCTTTGGTTGCCGAGGCAGTTCCCTACAGAAGTAGATTGCCCAACCTTCCTTCCGAGGAGTGGCTGGTGGCTTTGAACTGCCAGCCTTCTGGTTAGCAGTCAAGTGTCTTAGGCACTATGCTACCAGAGCTCCTGAGGAAATTACTAGGTAAACAATTTCAGAAAACAATGTAAATTTTACTTACTTGAAAGTTTTGTTTGCTGCTAAAGAAGCCAGCTCTCAAACAATTCTCAGAACAAATGTTTACTCAAATTAAACTTCAGAATTACCCTTGGCCTTCCTGCAGTCATGCAAGGGGGGGGGTCTTAAAATTGTTTATATCCCAATTTAATGAGTATTTTGTAACATAAATTAATAAATAAATGCCAACAACTTTAGAAACTTATTTATCTCTTACCCAGTTTTGTAATAGGGAGCTCTGGTAGCATAGTGCCTGAGGCACTTGACTGCTAACCAGAAGGCTGGTGGTTCAAACCCACCAGCCACTCCTCAGAATGAAGATGGGGCAATCTGCTTCTCTAGTGATATTGCCTCAGAAACCCAAGGAGGGGTCGCTATGAGTAGGGTCCGACTCGACGGCACATAACAACAGCAGTTTTGTAATTACCTATATGTAGCTCCAGTGGCATAAAACCTAAGGCATTTAACTGCTAACCAGTTCAAATCCACCAGTCACTCCTTAGAAAGAAGACTGACCAATCTACTTCTGTAGAGATACTGCCTCGGAAACCCAAGGAAAGGTTGCTATGAGTTGGAATCGACTTGACGGCAGTGAGTTTGGTTTTCCTATGTCAACTAGTCACTGAATTTCCTTGACTTTCCTACATAAATTCTCTGAACTGTCTCCTCCTTAGATCACTTAGTTCAAAATCCTCTGGACCCTGTGATTCCAATTTGCAAAATGTATATCTTCTCAATATTCTTTACTTCAAATTTCAACCAGCTTCTGCCATTTTGCTCTATGACAAATGACAGGATGCTCACTACCACCTTCCAACATACACCATGTAAGTGAGGGCCAATGTTGCCAGAGCAGAGCTTACTAACTCCTTTGTGTATCATGGATTCCTTTGCAGTCTAGTGAACTATGGAGCTCAGGGGAAGAACTTACATGAAGGGAGTTCTTCCTCACACCGAGTAGAAAGTGGCTTCTCAAGAGTCTCAGTTCTGCTCCCCACCACCCCCAGTGTCACACAAACAGATCTCTCCTCCCCAAGGTCTCCATTTATGTATGTGATCATGGCTACAAACTCCCTTCCCCAGCTCAGTTTCAGGGATCCTCCATCAGGGTCACTCCTTTGCCTCTACTTCAGCTTTGAAAGGAGTACCCAGCCCTCACAGGACATTTGAGCGGGGTTAGTATTAAATACCATTCTCCAGATATGCCTGTTCTTCCCCCACCCCACAAGCCACACTTTTCATGTGTATGAGTTTTCAAACTTAAGTGCTGACCTTATATTACTTTCCAAATCAGCTATGATGAGGTGAAAAAGCACCAAGTGAGGTGAAAAAACCAGACTTGCTTCTTGGTGCTGTTACTGTGTAAACTTTTCTAAGTCTTGGGTTCCTTGTCTGTATGAGGAGAATAGCAACACTTACCTAACAAGCTGTTGTGTGGACTAACAAGAAAACAAAAAACAAAACACAAAAACACACCACATGAAAGTACTTTTAAAGCAATAAAATGATAAACAAAAAATGTTAAAAGACACTGTCATAAAACAGAGGCCCTGTCTACACCTGGTAGGTGAGTGGTTGCTTTGGATTTCAGTACCTCTGACAGTTTTCCTCTTGTCAAAGTCCTCAAGACAACATTCTAGAACCCACCTGAGTGTTGACAAGGTGGAGAAGCTGCTGAAAGCGGGCATCCTGTTTCAAAGAGGCTTTGTTCTCTGGCTTCTCAGACAGCAGGCGTGAGAGCTGAATGAGGATGAGAGCAGCATGGTTTTGGTGTAAACAGTGATCACCACCAGGTAGTTCTAAAAGCTCCTCTGGCTTGGTGGCCTTTTCAATGAGCCGGTCCACTTCCTGGTGCTCTGGGTAGGGAGTAAACACTGGATCCTTCTCCACAAGCTCCGTCAAGGAACCTGGGAAGTGGGAATTGGGTGATGTAGCTGAGGAAGTCACAGTCCTATGGGCTACTCCAGCAAGTCTCAGTTGGCCAATTGGAAACATGGCAGGGGTTACACGGGCAGCCTCTTTCAGGAAGGATGTGCATCGTTTTACCAGGTGAGCAGCCATGGTGGCCCCTGGGTGGTAGGGGGGTAAGACTCCTAGTAAGTGATTCCAAAGCCCTGAAGAGAAAAAGGAGAGAAGGGCGTGGTACAGGGGCAGTTCACAATTCATAAAATTAGAGGAGAAACATGTAACAAATGATATGGTGTCATAGCCACTCTTTCCACAGAACTAGCCCAAATCTCTCTCCTTTTTGAATATCTACATTTATGTCACAGTATTTTCCAAACCTATTTTAACAGGATATTTCAATCAGTATAGAACACAATCAAATATCAAAAACAGCACTCTAGCTTGGGTTAGAGGTTTTCAGTTCTGGTTGTGCTTAAACATTAACTAGGAAGGGGTTCAACAATTCAGATTCCTGGGCCCAACCAAAACCTTGAACGGGAAATTTTGCAAGGAGTGCTCAAACAGGTATTATTTTTTTTTTATTCCAAGGGTAACAGCACACAGTGTTTAGCTGTAGTGTGCATAAGAACCACTAACATACAGAAAAAAAATGGGAGAGGAGCCTTGAAATCATGCTGATTCTAGGTAACCCAGGACATCAAGTCATATTTCCAAGGCTTCTTTGGATATATTTTAATACCTGAAGACAACAGTAACTTCTAAAAAATTAAAGTAGACTAAACTGCCAATTTACTTAAAAACAAAATAAGCAGACAATGTTTCTGCAAGTATATTTTTATGTTCTATAAGAATTTCCAGATAAATGGTAAAGCTAACAAGGGACAAGGTTGTAGTCACTTCTTGGCCACAGCCTGCTACCCAGAGGGAGCAAGTAGTTGGACCTATAGGCTTGGGACCACAGTCGCAGGGGACATCAAGGTCAACTGTAGTATGTTAATACTACACAAAACCATTGTTCCACATCCCACTTTGGCAAGTAGTGACTGGGATTTTAAAAGCTTGCAAGCAGCCATCTAGATGCAATGATGGGTCTCTCCTCATCCAGAACAAAGAAGGATGAATAAAATCAAAGACACACGGAAACAATTAGTCCAAGGGACTGGTACACCACGCGATCCTCAGCCTACACAACTGTAAGACCATAAGAACTAGATGATGCCTGACTACCACTGTCAACCACTTGGAGAGGGATCTTTGTGGGAGATCCTGGATAGAGTGGGAGAACAATGTAGAACAAAACTCAAAATCATTTAAAAAAAAAAGGAACAGGTTTGCTGGCCTGATAGAATCTGCTGGAACCACTGAGACTATGGCCCTTAGCTGCCCTTCAGGTCTGGAATTGAATCCACTCCTGTGGTTGCCAGCCAAACAAAAGAATGGCTATGCATGCACTGGAAGACAGCTGGGGGGGGGGGGGGAGTGCATAGGAGGGAAGGATACAGGGAAGAGGCAACTGTGGTGAAGAGCTGGGAAGGGTGCTGTCGCATTGTGGGAAACTGCAGTCAATGTCATGAGACAGAGTGTGTGTGAGCTGCTATATGAAAAATTAATTTGCTCTGTAAACTTTTACCCAAATCACAATAAAAATTTAAAAAATGTTTATACATATAAAACCAAACAAAACAGCAACAAAAACCTTCTAAGAGCCAAACTCCTGAACCAGTCATAAAAGGCACTGCACCATATGGCCTGGAATTATCTTCCCAGTTTGATACCCTCTTCCCCTACAACACATTCCTTATTCTAAAAAGATCTTGCACTGTCATTACACCTTTACAATGTTTTCTGACTGGTTTTCTTCTCCCATTACAGCACCTGGCAAAACACCATTCAAATGTTACTTCCTTCAAGAAGCCTCTCCAAAATTCCCTTCTCTGTATCCATATTTATTACCTATCCCTAGGGTGTTCTTTTAATACTGTCATCTGCCAGAGCTGCCAACCAAGGTGACTGAATAAGGCAAGTAGCAGGGGTGAGATAAAGTGTTAACTTAGACTTCCCTTCTTGTATATTTTCTCTTCTTTGATTTCCTGAAACTTGGTAAAAGGCTGGCACATTTTGTTTTTAAGTGATGGATTACTGCAGCTGCAAAAAAGCTCAATCTAATGCTAAATAAAGAAAAAACTGAGGCTCAGTGAGAGAAGGAATATTTGCCCAAGGGTAACAGCTACTACTTACTGAGTCCAGGCACAGTGGAAAGCACTAAACAAATGTTTGATTGTGGATTATGAAAGAAGAACAAAATAATGTGTTAAATTAGTGTCTATTCTCAGTAACAAAAATTTTAAAAATTATATTAATAAGATATCTTTGATTTTAAGGGGGTTTTTCTTACCTATGAAACCAAAAAGTAACACTTGGAAGGAGGACAGGGAGTTTGACCCAAAATGCAAAAAGTATTTACTTTCTATTTCTACTAAGAACTGCTCTTCAGTATAGTAAAATTGTCTTTTCTAGCATGAAAACGGTAATCAAGAATTTACCCGTTACTGCCTGACTTAAAGGGCCTAATGTTGAGCAGTTACTTTTTAATATGAGCTCAATAACAAGTTAAATACTTGGTCACCCTGAAAACTTGTATTCATTAAGGAAAAAAACATATATACACACTTACGTGAAATCTCCAATTCTTGGAGCATTCTTTTCCTGACTGGAGACTCAAAAGCTCTCCCAACTTGCAAATGTTTATTATAAAATCATGGAACAATAAAATACTGCTTTGTGTTAAAGTTTCTTTCTTTTTTTTTTTTTTTAAATCATAACTAGCCTAATTTGAGCTACTTGTTTTTAGAAACAAATCACATTCCTGCATACATATAAAATGACTGTTCCGAATAAACCTTGTATTTCCATTTCTTTGTTTCTTGATTGTTTTTAACACGACCTAATACAATCCCGCAAGCCACGGATTACACCCGCAGTTCAGAGATGGAAACGGAGGTCTCCAAATCTAATTTTGGTTTAGGCCAAATAACTAGGTCAAACTTCGAAGTTTGACCCATTAAAGCATATAAGTAACGACTCTGAACAAGAAACAAAATCCACCTCCCTGGGAAGGCTCAAAGACGCCACATACTTACTAGTGGGGGCACACCGCGAGCTTGGAACCCTCGCTAAGCCGGCACCAGGGCCCAGGTCCAGACACCCCACCCAACTCGGCCCGGCCGCCACGCGCCTTTCTGATGCCACACCTCCTCCCCAATATTCCTTCTCCGCCCGACTTCGCGCCTTCAGGACTCATTCTTAGCCCCATTCTCCCCTTGCTGCGAAACCTACACCGCCCAGACCAATACCACAGCTGACCTCCATCAGTCTCCCGCGCCGACCGTAAGTCAACAAGGCGAGGCGCGCTCGTACGTCATTCGAAGCGACGACCGGAAGCGAGTCTTTCGGTGCGCTGTCTGGCGTGAAGCCACGCCCGTTGTCCTCTTTCAAGCCAGTGCCATCTTTGCTGAAGGCAAAATCTACCTGATGAGGAGTGTGAGAAATGGTTGATGGGAATTTGGTAAAAATGAGAGGGGAAAATAATAAAGAGCCCAGAAACGAGGGCTAAAATACTTGGGGCCTTACTGTCAGCATTCCAAGTATTCCTAGGGTCCTCATACGGAACATGGGAAAGGACCCTGTGTTGTCAATGGGTGCTTCCCCTTCACTTTTATTCCTTCCCCTATACCTCGTCTGGGAGCTCTGATAGTGTAGTGCCTAAGGGACTTGACTGCTAACCAGAAGACTGCCAGTCCAAGTTCAAACCCACCAGCCACTCCTCTGGAGGAAGGTTGGGCAATCTACATCTGTAGTGAGTGATACAACTAGTGATATTACTTAGGAGACCCAAGGAGGGGTCACTATGGGTTGGGTCAGACTTAGGGCACATAACAACAATTCCTTGTCTCATTGTTTCTTCTGAAGCTCTGTAGCTTAGAGGGCTGTCTAAAAACTGGCCCAGAGGTGTGGGTGGGGAGAGGATCCAACGGTTTGGCCTATGGGGGCAGGATGTATGACCATTTGGGAAGCTGAGTGGAGACTGGAGAACTAAAAGCATAAGTTTGCACCACCAGCTAAAAGTTTTAGGGATAGTTTCCCCAAATACTGCAATTAAAACAAAAAAACAAAACAAAACACACCTCAAAATCTAGATTTTATGTACAATCCGATTTTTAAATAATGGCATTTTATTTCAAAATAAACTGCAGGTGGGCAAACAAAATGTATCTGAAGGTTTTGTATGAGCAGGTGAGGAGAGAGCAGAGTTCCATTTCCTGTCACTGCACCTCATACCTGGCCATCACCTGTTGGTTAGTGTGTTGCTGTTGTTCCAGGGGCTCCTGGGACCCTGAGCAAGGCCCCTAGCCTTTTGCTGACAAAGAATTGAACAGGAGAGGCAGAATGTCCACACAAACCAAAGTTCACTAAAGAGAAATAAGGGAGGGGGTGAGAACTTTTCACCTACACTAGCTTCCAGTCTCTTCCTGAACAAAAGATTTGTAGTTTATAAAGTTTTTTTTTTTTTTTTTGGGAGGGGGAGGTTTTCATCTTTATTCATGGAATGGGTGGGGATGGGAGCAGTGTTATGAAGCTTTTGGGGTGCTGGTTTGATTTGTGAAAGGTGCTTTAGAGTTGGATCAAACTGGCTTGCCTGCAAAACAGTCTGCAAAAAAAACATCCTGCGAGTTGATTCTGGACAGAGTGGGAGAATAATGTGGAACTAACCTCAAATTCATAAAAACCAGGTTGACTGGCTTGATAGAGCCTGGTGAGGCCCCTGAGACTGTAGCCCCTAGTTACTCTTCACATCTGGATTTGAACTCATGCCCATGGCTTCCAGCCGAACAGTGTTGTTATTGTTGTTATGTGCTGTTGAGTTGGACCTGGGTTTCTGAGGCAGTATCACTATGGAAGTAGATTGCCCAACCTTCCTTCCTTCCGAGGAGGGGCTGGTAGGTTTGAACCACCAGCCTTCTGGTTAGCAGTCAAGTGCCTTAAGCACTACACTACCAGAGCTTCTAGCCAAACAATAGGGTAAACATTTATATCAGGAAGGTACACTACTTAGAAAAATCAATCATGGGAGAACAGAAGGCTGGTATTTGCAC